CTGTTGTACATAGGGTCACTATGAGTCGCAAACGACTCGACGGCACATAACAACAAACAACAACAACAACTAAAAAAAGAAAATCGTTACTAATGCTATTAAAATCTCATAAATGTTATTTGCTAACTAGAATTATATAGTCTATTAAGTGGAATTAGTGAGTGTATTATTAAGTCAGAACAAAATGAAACTGAAGCAGTTATATCATTGTTTCTTAAAGAAAGCTATGTTTCCTTTTCCAAAGCAACATTTAAAGCCCTGCTCTGTAAGAATGTGCTCAATCAGATGATCTTTAAGCTCTGATTGTATCAATGGTAACAAAAAGCAAACGAACTTTACCAGCTGCCAGGGGTGCTTCTGGTCCGACAACTACGAATTCAATTTTCTCTTCTCTGCAGAACCTGGCAAGGGCAGTGTGATCGCTGACTGAGATGGCTGTCCAGGAAGCAAATAAAATATCAGAATGTAAGTAACAAACATTTCTGTTTACACAAAGTGAAAGGAACCCCAGTGATGTGAGGCATGAAGCTCAGTGATGCTAACCAAAGGCTGAGGGGCTTGCGCCCACCAGCTGCTCCTAGGGAGAGATGACAGTCTCCTTTCATGAAGACTAAAAGCCTCTGAAACCCAATAGAGGATTTCTATGTGATTTGGAAACTGAGAAGGATGAAATGGTCTCTTCCACGAAGATTACAACCTTGGAAACACAGGGCCACAACCAGTCAGAACTGATGTAATGACACTGGATTTAGTAACTAAAAAACCAAACCAACTCACAGTGATCCTCTAGTCAGGTTTTTGAGGCTAGAAATCTAAATACTTATAGGAAACTGACCATCTTTCTTGTGGAACAGCTGGTGGGTTTAAACTACCGACCTTTTGGTAAGTTGCACAACATATCAATACACTAACCTGATCTCCTCAGTAACTAAATGCCATGATGAACAGGAAGTACGGTATTTCAGTGTGTAAGTTAACTTTTGATTTTACAGTTACAGTTTCACCAAGAGAAATTCAGATTCAACAGAGTATGCATTTAATTTAAGTACTGTGCTGTTGTATGCGGTTAAGAAGGAACCTACTCACAGCTGACTGTCCAGTTGGTTTTCAAAGGTAGTAAAAATCACATGGGAGGAGACTGTCCATTCTTCTCTCAAAGAGCAGCTGGTAAGATTTGAAGCATGTGCCTTTGGGCTTAGAGATAGGTTTTTACCACTAGGCCACCAGAGCTCCCTTAATTACCCTGGGAAACCACAAAACATTCATGTAGAATATAAATGGATTATTTTTGTGAGAGAAGGGAGGTAAGATTTGAGATCTATCATGGAGCGAAAATTACCAGAATTTACATTTTGGGAGTACTATTCAACTTTTCATTTCTAAAAACATACATCTAAATGTCTCTAACTTTTGTCAGGCACTTGTTATGTATTCAATGAATGTGCTTTATAAAGTATACCATGACAACCCTCTGCTACTGACTCATAGAGACACTATGGGCCAGGATAGCATGGCCCTAAAGAACAGAACAGTATTCTTAAGGCTGTATATATTTATGGGAATTGATGGCTTCATCTATGTCTCGAGAAGCAGCTGGCAGATTCAAATAGTCCATCTTTCAGTTAGTAGGTCAAAACTTAACCCTTTCTACCACAGATTTAAAAGAATTTAAATGAATAAGTATACGACATAGGCAACTTTTGATTAACATATAATGTAGAAGGAAACAAAACAAAAATCTAGATGGCTGCCTATCTTTTATATTACAAAGGACAAATAGGGTTAACAGGTTATCATGAAAAATTAATAACTACTATTTCCTGATTTAAAACATGGATTACCAGCATTTGAAATCTTTGCAGAGCAGGCAGTGCCTGCATTTCCTGGGGCGACCAACACTTGCTTCACATGATGAGACTGTGCAAGTTTCCAGGCCAAAGTATGTTCTCTTCCTCCACTGCCAATTACAAGCACTCGGGCTGCCATTGCCAACTGCAAAGCGGGAATCTAAAATGACTATTACAGAAAGAAAACCATAGTTGATATTTCAGAAAGCATATCTTCCCTAAATCATTTTTAAATGTGTCCAGGGGTCCATGTTTGAATAAAAAGTTGGAATTCATGAAATGATCCTATCTACAAGGGCAAGGGAAGTATTTACTAAGATTTCTAAAAGAAATGATTTAAAATCCAGATAAAATATTGCATTCACCTAAAATAAGAATGATTGTGAAGAAGTAATTTTCTAGTTAGTACAGCTGATTGACATTTATGGAAGAAGCAGAAAAGAGACCAAAACAGGTTATCTATCTACATGGGCATCAAGGACCTTTATAAAGTGTTTGAGTAAGGATCTTTTTATTTTTCCATGAGATAAATTTGTATTTAGAATTAGTGATCTGGACTCAGTTTAGATGATCCCAATTTTGTTGGCAACATCTAAAGCATCATAGAAGCAAGTCAAACATAGGCCTTCTTCTATCAGATCTAATCAAGGTGTTGACCTTGGTCACATCAATGTTATAGAGCTTCTTTACAGCCTGTTTGATTTGTTGTTTGCTGGAATTGACATCCACAATGACCACAAGTATGTTATTATCTT